CCCCAAAACCCCAAAACCCCAAAACCCCAAAACCCCGATTATCTAGATAATAAAATATGGTAAAAATCTATTTAGCCACTCTGATTCTGCTTACTATGGCTCTTACAGCGGTCAGCTGCAGACCAGTTCAGAACGATACAGTAGGAGAAGAGATATCAGGACCTAAATTTAAGTTCCTTATCTTCAGAGAAGATTGCTTTGAGAAGCTCACTCAAGGAGGATTCACTGAAGGGGACTGCGTCGGAATGACTATCAGCAAAATTCTTGGATACCTTATTATCCTGGGATCCATGACAGTAAAGCTTCCCCAAATTTTAAGCATCATGAATGCTAAAAATGGAGATGGAATTCTTGCTTCAATGTTTTACGCTGAAAATATTCTTTTGATGATGAACGGATTATATGCGATCCATATTGGGAGTCCATTCAGTGTTTATGGAGAGAATTTTATCATCCTTATTCAAAACATTATAATTTTGTTGTTACTCTGGACATACCAGAAAGATATCTCTTTACTAACCAAAATCTTGGTCACTGTTTTCGAAGCGTCTCTATTCACTGTTATGTATCTAGATATTGTAGGCGAGCAGGGATGGTTAGTTCTCATGAACAGCCAGTTGTTAATTGTATCTTACTCCCGTATTCCTCAGATTATGCATTCCTTTAGGCAAGGATCTACCGGAAAATTATCTATCATCACTTTCTGAATGAACGCTGCTGGAAATTGAGCCAGATTATTCACAATGATGAAGGAAGCTAACGATATTCTCCTCATGATGACTGCATTTGCTTCATTCATTTTCAACTTTACTATTCTCGTCCAGATTATTATTCTTGGAGATAAGGGAACTAAGACAGAACAGGTTACATCAGCTCCACCCAAAAAGCTAGCTTCCAAACCATCATCAAGAGGAAAGAAGAAGATTGATTAGATCTACCATCCTTAAAAACTTGTTAAAAGTATATCAGCGAATGGATATTTCAATTTCAAGGAAGGAATATGGGGTTTTGGGGTTTTGGGGTTTTGGGGTTTTGGGGTTTTGGGGTTTTGGGG